GGTGATGGGAAACCCGTGGGGATTACAATTGAGATGGAAAAAAAAATGTGCAAAATGATGTAAAAATAAACTTTGTAATAAAAAAAAAAAGTGTTTGTGTAGCATACAGCTTTCAGTGACTGACCATAACAGGGGCTCAGAAAATGTACATACTGCCTCTTACCTTTAAGTATTTGAAGCAAACCTAGGTACCCATGAAGCTTGAGATCCTCAATACTCAATAAGTGATGGTTTTGACAGGCAATGACTTGACAAATGACTTCTTGGTTTTGATTTCAGTTGTATCTTTTAGCAATAGTTCTAGTTTAGTTATTACTATATGACGGGGATTGTTGGAAGCCATTTACATTTTTAGCTCAACTTTCACTTCAACCCTGTGAGATAAGTACCATTATTTGTATTTTACAGGTGAGGAATACATGGCACACACTGCATACATACCAGCTTGGAGTGGTTAAAGCCAAGATTGGTACACAGGCATTTTGACTATATTCTTGCTCTTATCTACTATACCATCCTGTCCCTAGTGAATGCAGGGAAGTGAAAAATATCTGGATGTGGCAATACATACACAAAATACATCGAAAAAGTTAGAAAGAAAAAAAATGGAAGACGAGATATTTAAATTATATTCAGTGATGTATCTGGGCAAAATTTAAAAGGCTGGCTTAAAATCCTCTGTATTTCCATAAACCTCCCTTGCTAGTATAGGCAGTCTCTCCACTCATTTCATTTTGCGAGGTTCCTTGGTCTTTGAGAACTACACCTGGATGAGGGTATCATAAGGCTATATGAATTCTCAGCATACACCCTCCACAATAATTCACTGGCTCAGATCACCCCCAGTTTCCTTTTTCCCCTCCCACTGCCCCCAAGGAAACCTAGTGAGAGATGTGAGAAAGATGTGCTGTGGAGGACACAGCTTATATAACAGAAGAGTTACAAGACATTGTGTATAGTGTATTATGATGATGTTAGACCCAGTAAAATCAGGGACTTAGAATTGTGGAAAGCATCTTGAGTCAAACAGACTCCATCTCCCCTCTAATAGTGGTGCTGAGACTTCTAGATGCAATAGGGAGTAAAGGGAGCAGGTTATCTCAGGATCCTGGTCCAATCCCCTACCAGTAACTATGAAAGACCACCTACTCACTAATTTCTCCTTATCAATATCTAGGATAGAATAGCAACATCTCTTCTTTCCTTATTGATGAATAGTAAAGAACCAGGAACACCACAGGCTGGTAGTTATAAAAAGTCCCTCACTCTGATTGTTTGTCTTAAGACTCATTTTGAACAGTTCCAGAACATCAAAAAAAAAAAAAAAAAAAAAAGACCTAAGCTTAGTTAGACCACATTGCTTGAAACTTTAAAGCCTCCTGTGATCTAATTCTATTGGAATACACTTTGGAATTGTCCCTTGGTTGTGAACAAGGATCATGATTCCCAAAAAGCATTTATTTCCTTGATTACACTGATACATCTAAGTTGATGATAAAACATCAATCAGGTGAAATTTCTGGTGGAAAAGGCCAAGTGGAAGACCCTGAAAATGCCCTCTTCCTCATCTCTCTAATTTGAGACTACTGAAAGACATGGGAATAGTGATTATATTCATTCATTCACTCATTCATTCATTTATATACCTGTTTATTTGGTTAGGGCAAAATCCAGATAGCTCCTGGCTAATGAAATGACAATAAATCAGGCCAAATAGTTGATTATGCCAAGTACCAATGCAGTTTCAGTTGTACTATTTTTATATACAATTAATACAACTTTGCTGGCTTGGTTTACAGCTACTAACCTAATATATGTAGTTTTCTATTTTGTCCCCACTGAGCCAGTATGAAAAAAACTGGAGCAAGGCATTACTGCCCTACCTTACTATATGTAAGGTCTCCAGCTTATGCTGTTAAACTGTCCAAAGTGACCTGGGTCAGATTATTAGTTCTTAAAATATCACAATAGCCCACTGTACTGATGACATTTGCTCATTAAATCTTATAAGCAAGAAATAACTGCCAAGAAATATAGGGCTTGAGGGTTGAGCCCACTTG